TATTAATATAAAACGTTTCAGTTTACCCCAAAAGTAATAGACAAACTCTGAGTACTTTATTCTGCGCAAGCCTTCCCATATAGCCCCGAAATGTGAAATGAATTCGTTTTTCGGTGAATAACCTATCAGAGAACCCTTACTGGGTGGTAACCGTAAAAAAATACTTATATACTACTTTCTGCCTCTATCGGCCTGCCTGTTGGAGGAATTTGTACACTATGCGGTTATTTTGTTAGAGTCGATATATTTCAGTTCAACATAATCCCATCAATTCCTGGGCCGAATTTCGGAAGATTTATGCATAAGAGTGTACTCTAACTTCCTATATTAATATTTTGAGGTAAAGAGAAAGGTTTGATCTTTTGAATCTTCCTTTCCCAAGGAAGGAACTTACGTAAAAGCGCCTCAGACCCGTGAAAACCCTGAATGGTTTGCATGAAATGTGTCTTATTTGTAATTGATTTTCATCATAACCTGTACTTGTTTGAAACGATCCCAAAAATACGTAACCAAAAGTCCAACTCCTCAAAATTCATAAATGAAAGGGTGAATTTATGTGGGACCTTCACTCAAAGCTTTGCCTCATGCATGCCCAAACTTCACATAGGGTCAACCGCTACGGGCAAAAATACACGAAGATGGCCCTCCCTATCGTCTAAATGTTTTAGGTGGATGTCCCGGTTTGAGATCGCAAGTCGTTGTCTCGGTGATCCGTAAAACTACAAGAACGTCATTCCTTCGGTGAATAAGAAAGGTTGTCGTACGTTGCCACCACAGGTCTGTAGTAATTATCGCGTCAAAAGTTCCAGTGTCGGTTTAGGAAAAGCACTGAACGACGTGCCTTTAAGCTTTGCTCAAAATCAACAGGATACCATCTCCAACTAAATTATTCGTCTATTAAAGTATTGCAGATTAAAATGTGCACTAAGATTACGAATCTCTCTAGCCACTCTTATCCCGTATAATTACGACAACAGCGCAAATTAAATAGCGTGAGTAGTACTGATGTCTATGTATATGGTAGGTTATTCATCCCAGGAGAATATTAGAAGTCTCTTCTGCTTGAATGTGACCGAAAATGTGACCGTGTTTGGATGCAACATCTTTTAAAGACTAAATACCTATTCGCTTAACGTGGAGGCGTGCAGCAATTAACATGAAACATGTGACCTAGAACACTGCATATCCTAGAAGAGTGGCGTGTGGGTCGAGAGCGCAAAGAATGCCAACTTTTTACATCTGTAGATTAGTTCATGGATGAAACAAATAGTCGCAAGGCTGGCTTATGCTGCCGAAAAAAATTGCAATGTTTGAGGATTACTTTCCATGCAAACTCAGAAGAGATATTTTCAAAATATTTGCCAGGGTTACAGGCTTTCTAGCATATCTAATTTCCTTTATTGATCCTACGAGAAAAGCAGCTTTTGCCAATTTTCTCGACACGTTTATGCAGCTTTGTCGTGCACATGCACACCAACAAGCTCCAAATATATCTTCTATTTTTCTTTTTGCCTGAACCCTCAGCAAACTCTACTATAGGGAAACATTAAAAAAATATGAATGGACGCATGCAGCACTATTTCGGAGATTTGCTGTTCTCATTCACTTGATCAAAGCCTCCAATATCACCTGGGTCCAGGAATACGAATTTGTGAACGCACACACTAGGTCTGCTTACGTCAACTAATGTACTACGATGCCATCACACGCCAGGTTTGGCAAGTCTATTCTCACTCTCTCGCTCGCTCTTTGTGCTCCCCCGGATGTGTCGCACACAGGGCTGTAAATAATTAAATAGGAGTGATAGTTGAAAGGGTGGTACTGGCCTAGACAGATTGTTTAGTACTCCTTGACGGAAAGTGTCATAGACGTGGCGAATCACCACAAAACGGAAAATACTCGGTAGTTTATTATACACTTCCTCAAGGCAGGATAGATAAGTTCGGGTGGCAGGTTTTGGTGAAAAGTCAGCACACCTGCTGTTTTCTCGTTGTGGTACTTTTCGAACAGCCATAACGTGGCAGAAAAATGCCTATCAAAAATGTAACATGATCTAAAAAATTGCATACACTAGACTAGTCTGTATCCCTCTGTGGAACGATAGCGACAACAGCTCAAAAGCCGGCGTGCACATTGGCCTTGATTGAACTTTTTTCGGGATTTGTGAAGGCAACATAACACCGACCCCAGTAATGCTAAAGCAGTCGTTTTAACCACATTGCATCTGATTGTTGTAGAGTTCGAAGCATGAATCCTCTTTCTTGAAAGCCCGTTTTCTGGCTTGCTTACTAGACTCGTTTGCTCCGTTGTCTTTTGGGGCTCAATGAAGACTGATTCTAGGTTTCTCAGTGTTCGGTAGTCTTATTGTGGGATCATCATATGCTCATCATCATCATAATCATCATCGTCATCATAATAATTAGCAGCAGCAGCAGCAGTAGTAGCATCAATAACACAAGCATTACTACCATCAACCCCACCAACGGAGTACTAACTACTGTTTCGGTGATATTTGCTGAAGATGAAGTACTTTTCATTCTGAGGTATTTTTTAATGTAGAATCTTTATATTTGGTACTGCGATAGAGGGACCTTGTTGCATGTATCGGTAATCAACTAGCCTATGGCTTTCGATACACACACTTTTACATTATTCTTCGATGATGGCATGCAATTACCATCAGTCTAATTAAAAGGTTAGCAGCTAACTGAT